CTGCTGGGAAGAGCCTGATGCTCTACAGCAGGAGCTGGTGCTGGGCAAAAGCCCTGGGGACATGCAGAGTGCGTCACTGCTGACATGAAGGAGTCTGGTCCTGCCTGCCCCCACACCATCCAGAATCCCACTGCGTTCCCCTGCTCTCCTGGACTGAGGACTTGCTGGCTGCAGGAGCAAAATACCCCACTGGGACACGTACCCCCATGGGTAGAGGTGGTAGCCAGGGCCTGGCCGGGTTCAGCCACCCTGTGCTGCTTGCTCATACCTTTGGCTTGCCTTTCCTCTCTCCTATGGGCTCCCCATCAGCAAAAAACTATGTGAGCTCAAAGCTACATAGCTAACAAATAACATACTGGAGCAGTGGCAGCCGCCCCCTCTGCACGTCCAGGACCTGGAGGGGCCACTGAAGTTGGTGCTTCTCAACCTGTGCCTTCCCCAGCTGCTGCAGGGCCAGGAATGAAGCCGGCGTCATCCTGGGTCTTCCCAAAAGATGCCCCGTATCTTGGGTTGGGCTGATTGTGTAAAGACAGCACGGTTTGGCCTGTGGTGGTGGGAGTTACATACCACAAGGATAATTTTTAAATTTTTTTCTGTTTAAACCACTGTGTGCTTCTCTGGGTGGTGGGTTTGGGTAGCGGGGTGTATTTGGGAAGGGTGTTTGCCATGTGCAGCCACCTGAGGTGCTTACCACTTGACCCCCCGGACCCCAGCCGGGGTGGCCTTGTGAGGTCCAAGCTGTTTCATTTCCCAGTGGCACCATTTAAATGTGAGTAGCCCGAGCTCTCCAGAGCCTTCTTGCTGCCCATCCTCAAGCTGAAACGAGCTGGCACATCATTACAGCAGCTGCCCAAACCTTCCCCTAAGCTTGGGGTGGACCTAAGGGATGTGGCTTATGGAGGCCAGCGCATCTTTCCTCTGTGGTGGGACTTGTGATGCCAGACACACCGCATCGGTTCACACCAAATATACTTGAAAGCAGAGCTGGACTTTCCCATGCACGAGGCTCCAACTCGATGCACAGAAACCCCGTGCAGGTGGCTGGACTGTTTGCTCTTGCCGAGCTCGGGACCGGGAGGTGGCTCGCCATCGCCCGACGGATCAGCCCTTTCATCTTCAAGCCCTTGTGTGGCCAGCAAAGATGCACGGAGCTTTTATTTTTAAATGCACGTCTGTAAAATGGAGGCCAATGAAGAGCACTGTAATAAACACTGGGTTTTATTGGCATGTTTGGGTTTTGCAGTTTCCCACTCACAGCTCTGCCCTCCATGTGGGAACGGGAAGGGTTTGCCCCTGGCAGTGCCATTGCCCTGTTAGACAGAGTCCCTGTGGGCAGAAATAAAGCTGAGGGGTGGGTTTTGGGTAGCGATCAGCTTCCTAAAGTTCTTTTATAATAAATAAAGTTGTAAAGTGTGTCTTCTGTTGGGCCATGGATGCTATAAAAGAGGCTGGAACTGTCATGGCTTTCCCTGGGGTTTTGTGCCTTGTCCATCACTGCAGGCCGCTCCATGTCTATGTATGCTGGCCATGAGGTGGCCACGGGCTTTCCCTGCTTGCCAGGAGGCCATGCTGTGGGGGACCCCTGCCCTTGACCAGCACTCGCATGCTATGAGTGATGCCACAGCCCTGCCAGGGAGGGAGAACTGCAGGACCATCCCAGCAGTGCTGGGAAAATCCCCATTTTTGGATTGAGCTCCAGGGAGGGATGCTCCAGTAAGCTGGGGCTGTCATGGAGGTGGCACTGCAACCAGGGCCATGTGTCTCCCAGTAGAAGATGGAGCTCCTCCACTCTCTCCTGCTTGCCTCTTTTTTCCCTTGAAAAGCCTCCTGTTGCAGATATTGTGTGTCTTCCAGGTGACAAGCACAGTTTCCAAGGCAGGCGGAGGCGGAGATGAGGGGGAAGGAGGTGGCGGTGACCTGGACCTGGCCTTGAGCACAGGGAAGCACTCAGAGCTGGTGCTGGTGGGAGCCTTTGCACCCTTCCCATGACCAGGGGCTGCTGGGTGAAAGTGGCCTCAACCATGGAGGAAAGGGTCCCAAAAGCAAAGATGCCATCTTTGAAACCCCGCAGTCGCCCAGAGCGGGGTGAGGGTGCGAGCACCCAACTCTTTTAGGGAATTCACCCCAAGAGTATCCCGCTTTACCCAAGCAGGACCAAGCTTGCAGGACCCAGCAGGGTGGGAGCAAGCGATGCTCACGCCTGGATCCCTCGGAAGCTGTCACCACACAGGCGTTCATTAGCTCCTTCTCACATTGGCTGATGCCCAAATAACTCCGAGCTGGTGTGAGAAGGGGAGAACGAACCCCGCAGGGGCCAGCCCTGACGTAAGGGCAGCGGGGGGTGTGGGACGGAGCCAGGGCAGGGGATGGGGAGGATGAGTCACCCTAATACGCAGGAGGAAAAGGAGCGAGCAGAGGCAGCAATGGCTCAGCCCATGGCAGCAGCTGGACGGGGCTTTGCTTCTGCAGGCTGCCCTGCCCGGTTTGGGGAGAGCAGCAGGATGGTTCCCTGGGGTCAGGGTCCGGAGGCTGGGGCTGCCTGCACAGTGTAGGCAGGACGGTGTTGATGTAGGAGAAATATCCACTAGAGGGGACTGTGCGATCGCATGTGGGAATGCGCAGCTGCCAGCCCAGCTGCAGAACAGGATTTGGCTCCTCCGGCTGCAGGACCGGGGCCTCCAGCCCTCAGCCCTCCCAGTTATCCCAGTTCGGGCTCCCGATGGCCTCTGCATCCCCTCCATGGGCACCACAGCCTGGGGCACAGCTTGCCCAGGGGCAACTGGGGGTCTGTAGGGTCTGCATAGGAAATAATCCTGGAAAAAATGCAGGCTGCAGGTCCCTGGCGACTCAGGGCACCCCTCTGCTCCTCCATGCTCCCCTGCTCGGCTCTGCTCCCACTCCCCCAGGACCCCCCCAGCTGTCCCAGGACTGTCACTGTTCACCCTGTCCCTGCAAACCCTGATTTCCCCAAGGACCCAGGGCATTACTTTGCTTTTTCCTCCCACTTACCCTAAAGCCAGAGCCCACTGTGGGGGCAGAGCCATGGGAGGTGAGAGCAGGAGGAACTGGGGCAGTTTTCCCTCACCCTCCTCTTCTTCCCCAGCACCACAATTTGTTTTCCCTCCTGGTAGGATTAATGGGCTTTGCTTCTCTGTCTGTACACAAGGACTTAAGTAATGCAGTCCCCAGAGAGGAATAAAGCTTCCCTTGCCCCAGCAGTGCTGAGGAGGCCCGATCAGAGCCCACGGTGATGGGCTGCATCAGCTTGCCTGTGTCCTTCAGGGCTCCACACACGTTAAGCCCATCCTCCTGGCAAAGACCCTGCAAAATGTTTATTTGTGGCTGCATTAACAAACACGCTTGTGGAACATCTTGTGTTTAGACACGAGCATGCCACCCTCTCCCTGCCTCCCCGGGGCCAAGCCTGTGGGCAATGTGGGGCCAGGATTCACAGCTGCCCCAAAAAAACAGCTGCTGACACTGCACCATGCGCACCACCGTGACCAGCAACCCTGAGCACGAGGCCACCTTGCCTGCCATTACCACCAACCCCCAGCACTGCCAGCAATCCCACCGGTGGCTCTTGCCCCGTTCCTTCGCCCA